CAATGTCAGAACGATTGCGTAATTGACGTAAAGCCAACCACTCGTCCTTAGAAAGGTTAGAGTAACTGAGTTTACGGTTAAGATTGAGATTAGAAATATCACGGCGACACTTATTGACAAAAAGATCAAGAGAAGAAAATTGTCCCTCGGGAGGGACCCAGTTAGACTTACGAGGACAAAGGCGCTCAAAGACATCACGTTCACAGTTAGAGTTAGAAGAGTCGGAGAAAAAAGCTTGAAGGCGAGTACGGCGAAAAAAAGATTCAGARTCTTTCTTGACCTGAAATTCATCAGATTTCTTAGCAAGAGGAACGAAGTTCAAACCCTTGCTAAGAACTGAAACCTCAGAATCAGAAAGAGGTAAATCTTCGGGAATGGTGACAACGGAATGACTAGAGACATTGTGATTGCTATGTTCAACCTGTGTAAAAGGATCAAAAGCAAGCCTTAAACCAAGTCATGCCTTTTTAAAGAGAATGCTGTAGAGTCAGTGTGGATAAAAAGGATGCTAGTTGCGCATATGACGTCACACATAAATTATAATGCAACGACAAAAATCGCTGCATAGAAATGGCGGACGAGCTTTTAACAATTTTCGGAAGTAGAATTCAGACGGGAAAAGTTTCTTTTTCGAACCAGTTATTGTTTATTGGTGAGCATTATCACCTATTTGAGCATATACAAAATCGGACTTTTTTTGCGTCATTAATATTTTCTTAAGACTAGCACTTTAAGTGACGAACTACTGTATCTTATACCTGCCTCTTGACCGCTTACGTAGGCGTACATATCGGTTAATAAGTTAATAAGTTAATCCAAATACCCTAAATAACCATTCATTCTCTTAATACTCGATTTATCTAGTACGATGAGTAATTGTCCTTTTTATTTTCCTTTTAACACCTAGTTCTTCGCTATTTTGTTGAGTTTGGAAGCGAATTCTGTGATAAATTAATTGTCGGAACTCCAATTAATACGAAAGACGACTTCGACTACAAGTCAACTGAGTCAAGTATACAACATAATTGGAAGGAGATCTATTGTGAACGGAAAACGCTTTCTATGTTTTCAAATTCAAAGGCGGGCTGTGTGGTTTTTTTTCAGGAATCATTCGACCTACGAGCTCAAAACTGATTACACAAGATAATAGGCCGATATGATAATCAACATAAAGCGTTGCGTTATGCGTGTTGATTTACACCTTTTGCTGTTCATTAACAGAAAATGTACATTCATTTGTGCCAATAGTTGTATCAAAAGCGTGGAATGTACTTTCATCAACACCACGAGTAACATCATTATCGCGGATCAACTTTCTATAACGATAATTGAATATGCGTGTACATTCATAGGCATCAATGGACAATCAATAGCGCGTCAGTACATTCATATGCGCGGAAATGTATTTTCTTGAGCGCGCAATAAATTATTAAGGCAACAGACAACTAAACAACTCGAATGTAAACTTTATTGTTCAAGTCTGTCTTTCTTTTATTCCGTTTGAAGACTAATCGTGCGCAATTAAGGTTTTCATAACTTTCTTGGATTGTATTTTTGCACCCTGTACTATGATTACTTCATTATGTAATATGTGCAGGTCATATTAGTGAATAGAAAAAAAATTCGAACCTACTTTGTTTCATGACAGTTTTTAACGTAACATCGAACTAAGCTGTACCAATCATTAAAACCTTGTATGCGCCATTTAGGATATCAGTAGAAGCTGTTAGGTCAGTTCTCTTCCTTTTTAAATCATAATCAACGCGACTTTTTTTGAATGATTCACCGAGGAACAAAACAAGAGAAATATGAGTAGTCCGCCATCTTGTACTATCTAATTTCTATCAAACAAAGAGCTTGTTAGAATGCTTTTCAGGAGCCAATCAAAACGCGCGATATACCAGCCAACACCAGAGTCTTCTCCCAGACGACCACCATATTGAATTGGAGTCGGCCGAGAGGGCCCTGAGAACGAGGTTGGACTCAAACGACCAAAGTTTACCGGCTAAATACAACAAGAATTTGGACACTAAGCTATATTACATATCTAGTTTTATGTGGTACGATTTCCAGGGATGGTGTAATTTTCATAAGACTAGCACTTTAAATTTGAACCGTTGGTCACAGCAGTATTTTTGAAAAATGAAACTGAAAAAATCAAACCAGCGCATAACAGAATAGATAAGTAACAGTTTAAACAGTTTCTAATGGCTAAGAAAACATCAATTTTTGGCCTAGAGCCCTTTGCCATAAGGAAATTATAAAAGAAGACGAAGGCCCGGGCGAAAAAAATTCTAGTGCATCTTTCATTGATTATTTTACTCTTTCGCATTGCAGAAGACATTATTTTGATCTCGAATTGAAAAATATATTAATTATTTAATTTTTCCGATTTTTTTATTCACCATTTACTTTAATCTAAATTGGGCTCCCTGTGGTAACATCAGCTTAATGATGTTAAGCCTGAGCTTGCATCCGCCATTTAATCATCCGCCATCTTGGAAACACAATTTCCCAGTCGTCTCCCTTCTTTCCCACTTCCCTTGACCCTTTGCGCGCGCTCTTAAAATTAGAGACGACTGGAGACGAGACAGCTTTTACCATGTCATAATCTCTGTATAATAGATGCAAAGCTTATTTGGGTACCAGGCTCCAATATTYGTCTCTGCCGGCCAGTGATAATTAATGGCAGCAACCATAAATGACTATTAAACTGATCTTCTAGACGGATGTTGACTTGAAGATAATTCAAGATCTGTATGCTAGACGAGAGCTTTAAGGATCAGAATAATCACAAGCCATTGATTGGTATGCCTCATAACCAGCTTTGTTTATATCCTGCTCTAATCCTTGCTTACTTCTTGCTGCCATCTGGTAAGTGTTACAGACTTGACACTGATAAATATCACTGTTTTGCATCCAAAATTTAATATAGATGATGTAGTGAACTGATGTGTGATTTGTTTAATCGTTCTGCGCAATATCTTTAAGCTAAGAAGTCTCAATTGCAAGTTACATATATCCATGAAGCGAATTGAAACCTAGTATAGCGTGACCTACAGACAGCTAAATACGTAATATATACAATATGAGCGGAGTATTCTATATATTACTTCAAAAACTCATGAATACTTTATGAAGGAAACACAATAGAAATTATGAACATGAAGAAAGTTTTATGAGGCTGTTTCAGTAAAAGCCGCCCACTGAATTTATTTTGAAAAATAAAATTTTCTCAAACTCAGGTGATTGGAAGACCTCACTGAGTTTATCACTGAAATGAATATAGTTTGGCTCAAAAATCTATTTTGGCTGCGCTAGCTAGGAGCCATTAAAGTATCGATGGCTTTGGGCCAGTAGCGAGCCCGTGCTGACCAAAAATTTAGCACGTATTCMCTGCGCTCTATAAAAATAATTTCTTAGCTTCCAGAAACTTTTTTTACGCCAAACTGTAGGTAAACTATCGTAGTCTCACTTAGCTAGATAAACGGTTTTATTCAATCCGTTAAGCCGTTAGCAAGAAAACCAGCAAATTGTGAGCCCTACTTGAGACGGTGTCAGGGAAGGCTAAAAATGACCAAAAAATAAGAGATTGAATTGAAAAAGTGGCACTTGTCTTCAAGCTTTTGCCTGCATAACCGAAGAGTTCTTTCATTTAGTGATACAAATCAGCAATATCCTGTGTACGTTTACATTTTTTTGACATTATGACCGTTTTCGTTTGTGTACCTTAGAGAAGTTTTCGAGTTCAAGTATCAGATCTGTATGGCATCGTACCAGTACATTTTAAGTAAAATACAGCTCACCTACTTCCTATGTCAAACTCTTTTATTCTCAAGCCATTCTAGAATACTTTCAGATCATAACACGTCCATATAGGTCCCGTTTGGAGAGAATATCGACCGTTCGTAACAATAATACATTAGCCTAAAGTGCTCAGCGGTGAGCCATTGAAGGCTCGATATAATGGAACTTCAAGGAGTCGAATTTTCTCTTTTGAGATTGGTCGAGCAGTGCATCATTTAACAGAGAAAGTTTCCCAAAACACTCGAGGTTAAATTTCAATGGCAAAAAGTTACGAAGAGGACTTAAAACCCAAGAAYACTACTCGCAAACATCACTCCTAAATCTAAGCATTTCGTATTATTGCACTGAGAGGATCGACCTATTGGGTGACACCGATGACACAATAAATATTGTGTTAGTTGACGTTATACTTGAAAAAAAATTAATGCGGCTTTTATTGTGCCGGTGGAATGGAAGGCAAATGCTTATTTGAAGCTAGGGGAAAAGGTGCTTGTTGCAATTTTGAGCTTAGCCGTTTGTCAGAGTGTTGAGCAGGATTATTTGATATATCACCAAGTCAAGTAGAGAATCTGTGGATTTTGCGAAAATCATCGTGAAAACATGGGAAGAAAATGGAGACCGCCAAATGCCTGTCAGTACCCTCTGCACCGGCTGTGGCTCCAAAAGAAAGCTCAAGAACAGAAACGTTGTGAATAATGATACAAACTGGGAGGTCCGCCTACTGCATGGGGAAAACGTTGTAATAGGATCTCGTATGTTCAGAAAATTGACTTATTAATCTTCCAAATTTTCTTTATTTTCTTTTGCATAGGATATGTGCTGCTTTTCTAAATGGTTTGTTGGAGGCTAAGTGCGTTCAGACGTTCTGAAAAAAAAATAAATAAAATAGTTGAATGCTGAAATATTTCTTCATTTGAATTTTGCGTCTTTACTTTATTAAGGTTTATACTTCCAATATGTTACTGACTGTGACGTCACCACAGGCTTCATTAAACATACAAATTTTGACTGGTTCACACAAAAGAATCATTATTAGACCCAAGGCTTCCACAATGTTTCTTGTAAGCCTCAGGTCTCATAATGGCTAGTGTTTGGAATTGAAAATTAAAACATACACTCAAAAGCCTGGGGTGACGTCACATTCAGCAACACAATGGAAGTATAGGTCTTCATAACATAGACGCAACAATCAAATGAAGAAATATTTCACCATTCAACTATTCACTTTATGTAGAATCCATGTTTTGGTTAAACAGCATGGACGAAGGGAAAGCTAACATCGCAGTATTCCTTGATCTAAAAAAGGCCTTTGACACGGTTGATCATAAAATCCTATTAGAAAAATTGGAAGCTTATGGTATAGTAGACACTGAATTGCTATGGTTTAAATCATACTTGACAAACAGGGAACAACGTTGCAATATTAACGGCTCCTTGTCTGATAGCGGAATAATAAGTTGCGGGGTACCACAAGGGTCAATTCTTGGCCCACTTCTATTTCTCCTATATATAAATGATTTACCTGGTTGCTTGACTCACTCTATTCCTAGTATGTATGCAGATGATACGAGCATAACAACAAGCGACACTATATTGGCTGTCACTGAACATAAAATTAATGAAGATCTAAAAAATCTGAAGATCTGGCTTGATACAAATCGCCTTAGTCTGAACATAGTGAAAAGTGAATACATGATCATTGGCTCTCGCCAAAGACTAAGCCAGCTAAGCTCAGACCCAGTGCTTTACATTGGCGATACCATATTAAAAAGAGTTAAGAACACTGTGTCGCTTGGGGTTATTTTAGACGAAAATCTCACCTGGAAGGATCATATCAGCAAAATTTGTAAAAAAGTTTCTAGTGGCCTAGGAGCCCTGAGACGTGTGCGTGATATCCTTCCTCGTGAATCCTTGAACACCATATACAGAACAATTATTCAATCACATTTTGACTATTGTTCTTGTATTTGGGACACTTAAAACAAAGACTGCAGCGATTGCAAAATCGCGCAGCTAGGATAATAACACGTTCTGGCTATGAAACTCGGTCTGCTGATCTACATCGTACGTTAAATTGTTAAATTGTTCATCTCTCGATGAACGTTGGCATGATTCAAAAATGTTATCCATGTTTAAAATTATACATGAATTAGCTCCTGATTCACTAAGGAGATATTTTACGCCAGTTAATGAATGCCACGATTACAAAACTAGAGGTTGCCATGTGAATTTTAAAGTTCCAAAACCAAGAACTAACTTTTAAAAAAAGAGCTTTGCTTATAGTGGAGTTGTATCCTGGAATTCTCTACCCTTAAATTTCAAAGAATGTTCTACTGTCTCTAAATTTAAAAATTGTCTTGTCAAAACTTAATTTACCTTTTATACTTTTAGTAATTGTTTATTATATCTTATTCTTATCTTAAGAACTTTTGTAAATTTACTTTTTTTCCACGGCTCTCTGGAAGAGCATTAATTTGTTAATGAAGGGACTCCGTGTCTAAATAAAGTTACCTACCTAATCAATACTGAAAGTATTGTATCAGGGGTTAGGTGCTCTTAAAGCTATTTACAGCTTATTTAGTCAACTTTCTTAATGGAAGAGTTTCTTTCACTACCGCACATACAGTTTTTAGAGGAATGACTGAAGTACCCTACTTCGTCCTCTCCCCTCCATCAATATTAGGACATTAATTTGGCATGGTCGTTTTCATCCCTTATCCTTCCTTCATTTTGATATCACTCCTTAGGCTTGCAAAGCGCGTTGCGGCAATGAACTTGGCCTCAAGCATTCCATCAACCTCCGCTGGGAGTTCCCCTAAACCTGAAAGTCGAGCAGCCGAATGGACTCCAGGTTGCTGGTTTAGTCGAGGAAGCGGGAGTGACACTCCCAAGAAGAGGAAGTAGTGGATGACTCGGTGTTATCATTGTTTAATTCTGTAATGTGTCAACTTAGTAAAGAGACCTCAAATGCTCTTCCATTTAGTCCACTGACATTTCAACTTCAAAAGACGTGGAATGAAGCGAAAGAAAACGAGACAAAGGAGTGTATAGAAAAGGCTTCCGAAGCATGCGGCATTGTTTGTGAGATTATAGCACCAAACTGAGCTTACAAACAACTTTTTCATTCCTGCCTTAGATTAGATAGAGGAACTGATTTGCAAGAGCTTAATTATTCCTTTAATGCCGGCCTAAAAAATGCGGCGACAAAAAATGTAAAAACACAGATTATGAGCCTGTATGCGTACCGTTATCCTGTGAAGATACTACAGAAAATGCACGAGCCATATGCAAAATTAACGAGTGGCAAATCAAACGGGCTAGAGCGCACGCAAAAGAGTGTGGATCGGGCTCACTAATCGAGAAGTCGTCTTCTCACCGTGTAAGATTACCTGCCGCAAAGGTCGAACATTTCGTTGATTTTATAAACCGGCCTTACTTTTATCAGGATGTTGCTTTTGGAACGAGAAAGCTAAAACTTGAAAGCGGAGAAAAAATTACCATGCCGAATATAATTCGCAAAGTCACCAGGTCAACTATGATTAAACAGTACATACAGTTTACAGATCCATTTCAGTCTCATCTAATTCAAGCTGGATTTTCATGAAGGGGATCCCCGTCCAGGAGGGAGATTTAACCAATTTGCCTATACTATGAGATATTATTATCAATACTGCGTTTTCCTTTGGAAAAGTTGTATTTTTCGTGACCCTGATAGATGTTGTATTTGGTTAACATCGTTTTTGTCCAGTTTAAAGGGAATAATTATACAGTCGGTACTACATCTGTTCCTGGGTTTGGAGAGAGTGAAAACGTAATGTGTAGATTAGACATGGTTGTGTTCCTATTCAAAGTCATTTGCTTATATACAAGAGAGCATAAATAAGAGAGGGAATTTTCTTAATAACGCTCACTTCATGTACGCACGGGGTGGGGTCAAGGCAAAGTTTAAACAGCACCTGGTTGCTAAGAATAGCCCAACAGGGATTTTACGAATTAATAAAAGCAACGAAGATGAGAGATTGTAATACTGTTTCAGAAAACGTTGTCGGTCCGAGAACTGAAATGAGCGATCTGACAATAAACGCAATTTTGCGTTTCACGTGTGTTCTGGCTGAAATACGAAAATCATAAACAATATTATACATTATAATTAGCAGCTGCATAAGCTGCTATATGCTACGCAGATTAGCTCAATGGCCTTTTGTCACCCCCACGTAAACCAAAGATCGTGTTTCACTGTTGTGGGCTAATATTTGTTGGAGGGCAAAACAAACTTGACGTTTGCCAATCGACTCGACAAAATCACAATTAAAACAATTTTAGCCAATCAGAGCGCGCGTATTATCTAAGCTATAATGTAAAATTAAATATAGTTTCGCCCACATAACCATAAACCATATAATGGGATATATAAAGTGCTACTGCACTAATAATTAAACATGGCCCGGGTAGCCTGTGGAATGAAAGCCGACAGTGATCCTGTGGTGTCTAGATCAGTTTTATTAAACCTTAGTATATGTAAACATAATTCGTAATTTTTTAGTCTATTAGGTGTATAGAAGTTTACTCCTGTACCACAAGTCATAACGAAAGAAAGAACTTCAAAATTCTTACAGATGCATTTCTTTTTTAGCTTCGTCATTTAGTTTTACAAGGAAGCCAGAACAGCCAWTGATTGTTGTTTTAAACAGCAATAGCACGAATGTTKATTTTAGATGGGACTTWAGCCTTGCTAATGGGGATGTATTCAGCTATTTCAACTTTAGAAGATACGAGAAAGACAAAGGATCAGGATCAGATTCTATTGTTGTGTTGGGATTTTATCAAGTTGGATATACGAATGTCAACACCACCCTATACAGCTTGAGTACTAACGTTACCCATGGCCCATCGTCTGGATATGTTAGATTTACCATTAAAGATATCATGCAACAAGACAATAACAAAGATGGCAGTAAAGCAAATCCTCGATCAATCGAGTACGTCTATCAACTAGAGCTAAAGATGGGAAACTATTTGGATGCAATAAACAGTGATGTTGAAATGAGAATTTTATGTAAGTAAACTCACTTGTTTTCTAATATTAAAATATTTCTTGTATGTTAAGTTTCTCCTTCTTCTTCTTCTTCTTCTTCTTCTTCTTCTTCTTCTGCAGATAAAAAGCGAAAGGTCAGACTGCTATTTTTACGAGAAGGAACTGATTGGACGCATTTTGGCTAGGTCATATTTATCAGGAAGAAGAGTTTTTGAATTAMAAAATAGAAAGTATATACCGTCATTTCTTTCTTTCTACTACTCTACCACCATTAGCAATTTTACAATTATACTCATCAGTTTCTTGTGTTTGTCACATCAAGGAAGTGTTGAGTCGTAGCCCAGTTGATCCGCATACTACTTTGACAATGTGCATGATACTGAAATTTATCGTCATTAAGAGGACAGACCCATTAAAAAATTGGGGATTTGGTTTTTACCATTCCAAACACAATAAAAACTTCTCATTTTTACTGATCAAAACAACCAACAATGGAAGAACGCGCGCTCGTTGACGTCAACTTTATCATTCTGTCCATTCGGTTAATGATAAAAATAGCCAATCAGCGCGCGAGAAATTTGTAATTTAATTTATATAATAGATTTTTCCGAACGCGCGCTCTGATTGGCTGAAGAGCTATGTTTTATCAGAGTATAGAAACATAGATATGACGTCAAAACCATGTTTTCTATACAAAATTAAACATAGAAATGACGTCACAGGAATTCTGCTTCCAATTTAAAGCATTTTGACATTTTAAATTTAAGTTATTTATTTATTTTTATTAAAAATATATCTTTCCTCTAAAAAAGGAAAATATGTCGTTTTGAAGCACATTTGATTGGAACTACTACTTTATTTCGTATGTGCTGCGACTATTACAATGAGAAGGGGAAGTTTTAGAATTTTTCTTAAGTTTTGCGATTTTGCAAAACAATTAAAACACCGGCATCACAAATATGAGTTGCCCTTAGTTACGTACGCCATCTCCGAGCGTGCGCAGTGCGTTTTTAACCAGTGTCGTGCGGCGGTTTTATGCACTTCCGTTTTTAAATTCTTGGCGGTGTATGATCCACGGATCTTGAATCAGCGTTTTCCCTCCCGGCAAAATATATAGTATTATATTATTAAGGGATCAGCTCAGTCGGTATTGCTTGTGGCCTTGGACCTGGAAAGGGTTACCACGAGGTATGTAAGTTTTCAGCACACCCTTTATATGGACAAATTTCTTGTAATAATTAAGGTGAAGTGTAGATGAGAGCGAAGGTGAAAATAGGTAAATTGTATGTGGACGTAGAAAACCCAAAGAAAAACTGTTGAAGCAATGGTGTCAAAGAAAAAACGTTCTGTTCATGCAGCACAMGTATCCGATATTGTCCTTTGAAATCACATCCGACATCCGCATCATTTTGATAGCAATAATTCTCGTAAATAATTAAAAGGTGCCAATCTCTTCTTCCCCTGATTTTGTTGTTTGTTTTGTATGTTAGCGACGTTTCTTTGTTGTATTATCTGGGCGATAAAATATAGATCAGGAACAATAGCTGCCGCTCATTAGCATATTAGCTCTAAATCTAGCCCTAACCACGCCCTTCCCCTGATTAATTTTCAAGGGAATTGATAATCTATTGTTAATATTACCCAGAGGATATGAGGACGGAAGCAGAAGCGGAAACAAAAGCAGAAACGTAAGACGTCTTATGTTCTTGTGAAAATCAAAAAACGGAGACGTAAGCAGAAGCAGAGCATCGACGGAAGCATAAGCAGAAGGAACGGAAGGTTTCCTTTTTCTTATGCTTATGCTTCTGCTTCCGTCCTTATGTCGCTAGTGAAAACCAGATTCTTATCCTTCCGTCGCTAACATGCAGAAGCACAAGGTAGTAAGCCAATCAAATTCTCGTACTCAGTCTCCTGCACGGGAAACTTCCTATTGTTTCTCTTATGCTTCCGTCACATTCATTTACACTAGAACATAACGATCTTTTCCTTAAGGCTGGTTTTCACTAGCGACATAAGCGACGGAAGCATAAGCATAAGCATAAGATCGTTATGACATCTTAAGCTTCTGCTCATGCGTATGCTTATGCTTCCGTCGCTTATGTAGCTAGGGAAAACMAGCCTTGAATGTGAAGAGCGTGGTGAGGGTTAGGGTTAGGGTCATTAATTGCAGTAAAAAGAAAGACAACGGTAAAGAATATAAACAAAACCCCTTCATTCTTTGTTTATTTATTTATTTATTAACTTCGCCATACTAAAAAACATAATAAGGTAAGCAGCATAAGCATATAAGTATGGCAGGGATACCGCAAAAGATTTAGCCAATTACTGCGGGCCCATCGAAGAGAAAGGTACTTTAACTGAAGAAATATTAATTATGAGAGAAAGTAAAAATACATATACAAAATAATTATTGTCAAAAGTATAAGTTAATTCGACAAAATACACGATACAATATACGCCTCACCGCTGTTCTTTGAATACACCAAGTGTTCCTTCTAATATAGCCAAGTAGTTTGTTTGCACGAGCTACCTGGTCTTGTACTTGTTTAGTTCGAGTCAGGTTGCTAGAACTGAACCTAAAAGCATAATCGCGTTCAGAGTTAACTGCTTCCAGTACTTTATCTTTTAGATAAAAAGTTGACTTTATTGGCTTGTTCATTAATTCTTGTTATGGTATAAGCTTTACATTTCGTCTTGTTAAACATGAGTCCAGATGTTGTTGACAAGTTGCATAGATGTTTCAATCGGCCAGTAACAATGAAGCGTCGTCTGGAGAATGTATTTCTTTGAAGTTTTTGTGCCGTCAGCGAACATTGCTCGTTTTGACCTCCATGTCGTTGACGAAAAGAAGGAATAATGCTGGCCCCAAAATTGAGCCTTGAGGTACTCCAGAACTTACGGGTAGAGAATCGGAAATTGCACCWACTGACAGTTGCACGTGGGTAACGACCTTTGAGGTATGAGTGGAACGACTGCAGTAGGCTGCCCCCAAATCCAAACATACGCAACTTATTCAGCAGGAGTTTGAGACTGACCTTATCGAAAGCTTTTGACAAGTCCATGTACCTGACCCCCCTTGTCTAGGGTTTTTACCAATGTACTCGAGAACCTCAATGAGATAGGTTGTATATTATTTTCATTTGACGAATCCATGCTGACACGCTTGTGTATCCTTGCGTGAAGTCGATCTTTAAAGTTGTTGTACACACACATGTCCAGCACTTTCGAGATCTACGACAGTAATTGTAATAGTATGTAGTTCTCTGTAAACTCTGCATCACCTTTTTGAAAGCGAGCACAATTTACTTCCTTCCACTTCTGAGGAATGGTTCCTGTCCTTCGAGATTTATTAAACAGCTTACAAAGGGATGGTGCGATGACAGACGCTGTTTTCCTTCATTAGCTTTGCAGGGATCCTATGAGGTCCTGTTGCTTTAGTATGATTTGGACCTCTTTGACTTCCAACCAAGATCACCAGGGTTATCAGATGTGTCATCTTTATCAAAGTTGTCATGTATGAACACTGAAGCAAAATAGGAGTTAAACATGTCCAAACGCTTATCGCTTACATTCTGCGGATCCATCTGTCGCTGCTTGAGAACAAGTATAGATCACACCAGGAATGTTGCAGTTTTAGATTTATATTTAATTACTGACCGGAAACGCTTTGTAACTATCTTGTATACTTCCTTTGCCAAGCCTCCTGCTAAATACTTTTAGTATCACAACACATATACCTGATCCATTATAACGGTACAAGTGGCGAGTTTAGTGTGTTATTGAATGCCAAGCGGGAAACAACAGCTACATCTGACAGTGTGTACCGTACAAGAGCTAGCATGGGATTCGGTCAAAATAGAAAATTGCTGCTTCTCGTCAAAAGTACGAAAGGAGAACTAAATATCTCATTAATTGAATTGAATTATAATAAAAGAACGAAGGTAAATTTTCATTTTAATCTGCACTTTTTCACTTAAACTATTTAAGATTTTTCAAAATACTAAAATGTTACCCTCAATGGCAGTCATACTTTTGGTTGTACAAGTGAAAATCATGCACGATATAATAGCCCMCTTCCGAGATATGATCCGCTTGTCCCGCACAAAGATTTCTGGCTCGTACAAGGTTACGTGCTAAATGAAATTGATTCTTTTCTCACATTGAAACCTTTATGCGTGATAAGCGAGGTATGTCTCGAACTGGGCTTTTCAGCCACAACTAGTAGCCATTACTGATTGCATATTCGTTAGATAGGGTAATGAGTCACAATTCAGTCACAAAACAGTTGACCTATGGAAGCAAGCTATTGAAAGAGGAGAAAAAGTTGTGTGTGCTTTTCTTGATCTTCGAAAAGCTTTCGATGTGATTGACCATGCCACCCTATTAGAAAAACTGCAGTCACGCTGAGTACTTGGAGCAGAACTGGATTGGCTAATAAGTTATCTTTCAGAAAGAACTCAAATTGTCTCATGCGGTGGTACTAACTCGACTAAGTCTGAAATCTATTATGGAGTCCCTTAAGGGTCGGTTCTTGGACCAACCCTCTTTAAGGTATTAGGATACGTTTACGACCACTATGCGCGCAAACGTAAACAACGCGCTGGCTTTATATTATAACACAAACAAAGTATACATTTTCTGAAAGCTGAGTAAATATAGTTTATGAAGAAATTTTCAAAATACGATTTTTTAAATTGTTTTTTACATTATTGTCCTCGGAGCGAAATTTGACCATGCCTCAGTGAAAACGTTAACGGACACGTACATTTTAGGCTATGTTTGCGGAAAATGGCTTAACATACTCAGGAGATAATAAGCTCAAAAAGGGTGTCCCAGATTTTTTATATCTGTTTTATATCTCTTGCTATTTTTGATCAAAGTTCAGCGATTGCTTTTGGAGCGTTGTTTGGGGTAAAAAGCGTCATAACTTTCGAAAGAAATTAAATTCCAAAAATCGGAGACAACCTTTTTTGTATCATGAGTTACTTTTTAAACTCTCAAAATTTTAGAAAAATCGAATGAAATCCAAGGGCCTTTTACCTTTTTGAAGTTGAGATTTAGCGGCAAAAACAATTTGAGAAAAATGCATTTCTTTGTTTGGAGCCGGAAGCTGCAGGGAGCCACGATGGCGTTGGTCAAAACACCTTGAGCCTTCCATTTTGTCATCATTTGTCAAATTATCTGTTGTTCTGGACGATCGCAATGTAGTATCTTTTTACAAGGACACAGGAGCATTTGGACTCGACGTTATTGCAAGCGACGGGACATTGTCTTGATAAAGTCACGATTTCGATTTGTCTCAAAATTTTGGCTTTTCCAATTAAAAATTGCAAGAAGTTTCACTAACACATGAAAGACAAAAGTTTGAAGTTACGAAATCAAAAATCGTCATTTTTCGTATCCTAATACCGTAACGTTCATATTAATGGGATCACTAATGCATGTCAAAACTGTCACGCCACACTATATGCTGATGACACTGAAGTCCACGCAAGCTCAAAGGACGTAAACATAGCCGAGGGACATGTCAATCAAGATTTAGGTGTCATAAGCAATTGGCTTACTGATAATGGATTAATAAGCAATACTAAGTAATCTGAAGTAATGTTAATTGGCACGAACATGCTGTGAAGAATGCACGACAACTCCTGGTTGTATTTGATGACAAACTGCTAAAACAGTCTGAACATTTTAAGTACTTTGGAGTGAATATCGATATTCGTCTTAATTGGAACAAGCATGTTTCTTACATATCTTCTAAAATTTATCCTAAACTTAAGATTTCATCTTATTTAAATGGAAATGTCCTCTTAAGAATATACAMACATACTGTTCTACCAATATTAAATTATGGGAGCATATTTTGGGGAGACTGTGGAAAGCAGAATGCACAGCGCCTAGATCGCCTTCATGCGTATTATTTTATCACATGATCGCAAAACTTGCACTCAGGATATGCGTACTAAGTTCTTTTAACTATATCTAGTAGGCGGCGTTTTTTAAGACTTCGAATAGTTTACAAAATCATTAATAATATAATCTGCTCAGATCAGCAAAAAAATTACCTAGTGAAAAGATCGAACTTCCATAACAGATCGCTTAGAGATAATGATACATTAACTGAACATACCAAAAACATCTTCCAAAATGGGGCAACTAACATTTAAGTTTGCTGCGGCTAAGGATTGGAATGATTTGCTTAAGGATTTAATCGCATACTAAAATAGCTCAGGTTTGCGCGCGGAGCTAAAAATAGATTTTCAAGAAACTTTCATGGGTCACAGGGATATGCTCTCTTACTTCATATTCTCTTGACTGTACATAGTGTACTGTACCATAATTTTTTTCTTTTTCTTCATATATTTATTTCATTATTTAATTATTTAACCAATAATCTACACTGAGGCAAGAAAATCACGAGTTTTTGATATATATTTTGTAGCCTAATGTTTCTGTTTCCTTTTTCTTTTTCTTTTTCGAGCCTCGTATGTACAATGTATATATGTTTTGTGGACGCGGGGTTTTTCATGTTTCTGTGTATATATGTATATATTATACTTAATTTTCTCTTTTCTTATTTATACTTTTAAGTTCTTAATCGCAGATTTTATACTTGATTTTATTAAGATTTTTATAGATTTTATATTGCTGATCACCGGTTCATACCAACTGTTCTATCGTGTCCAGCTGATCGGTTTTCTAAATCGGGATAAATAGAGATATTATTATTATTATTATTATTATTATTATTATTATTATTATTAATTCAGTTTGTATAACATAGTAACAAACTCAATCTCAATGCCACAACTCAAAAAAGGGTCCCGCCACCCTCCCCCTCCCCTAGGGTAAGAGTTAGTGAAGCATGCATATTTCCTTTACGGAATATTTACCTTTCCCGCACCCGTGAACTTAAGAGTTAGTAGATAATGTTTAAGTTTGGCTGATCTTTTTAGTTTTTTTAGTCATTTTTCGTTTATCTTAGTTTTTGAACCTGAAAATTGGCCTTTTAACGATGGCGATTCATGGTACATTGGCTCTGAGACTCATTATTCCTGTTCTTCTTCTTCAACTTCCGCGTCTACGTAAGAAGTTTGTGTTATTTACGTCTGATCTTACGTTGATGTCAGTTAAATGAGGTTTACCACATTGATGTTCGATAAGCTTACAGTATAAGCTGTATCTATGTCTTAACGAAGGTGTCACTTTAAAACATCTTATTTCAGCATGTTTTAAATTTACCAAGGAACATCAAAGTCCTATTATCGTAGTACTTGATCACAACACAACAAATGTCAACATGGAATGGACATTCGAGACAGAAGGTTCCACTATTGCAAGTGGGAAAAGCAGACGTTTCCTAAAAAACAAAGACAGCAGCTTATCCAAGGAGACCAACATAGCTTATGTCAGTCCTCAAACTTCACGATCAAAGATGTCCTGAAGAGAGCCGATAATGCAGATCAGACTAAAGTGAGTTCTCTCTCTGGTGATGTCTACTCATACAGGCTGGAAGTTGACACAGCCCCGCCATCCTCGATGGACTTAGTTATCAAGAAAAGCAGCAATGTTGAACTGCGGGTTAATAATACAATTGGTATTAAAAATTATATAAAAGTCATACCCCACAATAAAACGTGATTTGAATTAATTAGTTAAAATAATTTTAGAAATTTGATTCTTAAGAAAGTTTTAAATTTACTGCAATTGCGTATTGTTGAATTAATACTGTTCCAGACTGAGGCGGCAAAGTTAATGGTTGTCCACTGGCCCCAGCTAGTTTGTGCTCGAGAGGCACGGACATTATTCTTATTTCTTGTGTTGTAATTATGAAAGTCCCTGTTCAAATGAAACTCAAAATCATGCTCTAATAAATTGTTATGACATTTGTACATAAAAATAGCACGATACTCGGCCCTTCTTTGTTCAAGTTTCTTCCAGCTAAGTTTTTCTAAAGCTTCTCTAGCAGAAGCTCGAGGAGGAAAATTCAACACAATTCGTGGTGCATTATTATGAAGCCCCTGCAGCTCGGACATAAGCGGGTTTATTGTACGTTTTCGACACATTGATAATGTAACTAGTATCTAGTTCATGCCTATTTAAAGTTGATAACATTCTATTTGCTTTTCATAAAATTAGCGTGCGATATACAGGATCGGAAACAGTAACACCGTGACTTCTTTGGCCTAACATTCCCATCATACCCATCTCAATTCGAACGTTACATATTTCAATCGTGGAGCTAAATTTTTAAAAACTAATTGCGTGACACGCTGGTAACTAATATAACTAATGAACAATGCTAGAGTACCGTCTCAAAGCGCCGAGTAGAGTTACCATCATTCGGTTTTTTATAAGAACGACTTGGCAAGGCATTTCAAAACTTGGTTGTGCAGGAGACGTCGACCTGATAAGAAGAAAGCCGTCTAGTGTAGAGATACTGCTGGCCTATCAAGGTGCTGACATGGACTTAAATGTTAAAGCAAATAATCTATCAAGGAAAACTGACAAGATGTATTGCAGAATAGCTGTGTACGACAACATGGCCCGTATAATTCTGTGAGATACACAAAGCTGGACGTGGGAGTCTGAATGACAATTAAAGCTTAATCTTTTAATGAATACAGCCGGTCAAAGGACATCCTGATTGTCTAATTATGTTTGATTTATTTTCTCATAAGGAAATACTTCTGCTAAATAGCTTATTTTTATTGCATAGCCTCGGACTGGAACTAATTACAAGAAATTTTAAATCCCATCAGTTTTAAAAACTAGTGTGAGCTGCGTCGGTGTTTCTAATGAAACAGTAATGATAAAAAGGTAAATCTTACACCGTGAAAAAAAACTGTGAAAAAAGTTACTGACGTTTCGGACGCTTTCGTCGGAGTAAAATAGCAAAACTATCTTACTCCAACGAAGGACGAACGTCCGAAACGGCAGTAAGTTTTTTCTAAGTTTTTCATCTTTTCACGGCGTAAAATTTACCCTTTTATCATTAAACTTTGTAATGGTTAGATAAAGAAAAAGTGAGTGTTCTATGGGATATAGAGTCCCGAGCATAAGAGGGACACGAGCGTGAAGCGGTATTAAAACATTAAAATACTTCATGGAATGTCGTTGATTCTTCGATCGTGCAGTGTTTATAAGTTTGAGCATGATTTGAATCATTTATTTCTTTGATAATGAGTCAATACACAGAGCTTGAGGAGCTCCATGCTGTCGTGGCCACTCAACATTTATTGTCTTTTAAGTCCAGAATCCTTTCTCCCTGCCTCAGGCGATCATGAAGAACAAGAYGGCGACAAAAATGTCGATTTATCGGTTTATCGAAAGTTACTAGAAGTAAAGATATCGCGTAGAGAGAAAAAGAAAGAATATTTATGAAAGTACAGTATGGTCTGTACTTCGTTGGTTGTGGGGCACGGTGAGACACGTTTAAAATTTCAGTTGGCACTCGAAAAGTGAAAATGCTAGTTATTTTAGTTATTATTATTAAGTTAGTTATTTGTTATTTCCATTTCAATTGAAAATTTAAGAAATTTATTGTGCGTGGTTGTCATATTTTCCGAGTGTTATTGAGGTCATTGCTCATGTACACATTTTCTGTCCAAATCGAATTTCTCATTTTTCGTATTGATGGTTTCCAACCATTCCCAAGAGAATTAAATAACAAAAGACACGGCGGCCATGTTGAAGGATATGACAAAATAATTCATTTACAATTCTTTTGTTAAGTTCCTCCAACAAGRCGGCCGTAAAAAAAAGCGGCCATTTGTAATCGTCGCTTGACGATCTTGTTACTTTATTGAATACAGTCCCTCCCACCATCACTGCATTCGTCTGTCAAGGCTGTGATAGTGGAAGTGCCGTCGAGAACCAAACCATCACCTTGTTGTGCATTGCTACTGGTAAACCCATACCAAACATCAGATGGATGAAGAATGGAGAATATTACAATGGAARYAGTTCAGTATCAAGTCCAATGAACAAGCTTGTCTTCAAACAAGTAGCAATAAATGACAGAGGAAACTATACCTGTATTGCTGACAACGGGGTTGGTAATCTGGACAGAGAGTCATTGACTTTACTTGTTAAATGTAAGTAGGGATTTAATATACGCGACATGTTTTTTATACCACTTATAATATGAATTATACTTTAACAAACTGAACTGTTTTCTTATGATGACCGACTGATTATGAAAGTAATCGCGTAGAACCGTAGGGTCACGATTAGTGTACCACTTATGGTACGCTAGAAGGGCGGCGCGTTAATAAAAAAGTTTATTTTTATGTTCAAATCTCATTATTATCGGTGATGTTTTTTTACTGCGGCCAAAGAGCAATCGGCTTCGGAATATTTTATATAGTTGAACTACGCACGCAATATGTATAGTCAGTGGTACCCAGTTAATACGGACACCGTCGGGACGAGATGCAGTGTTCGTATTAACCTGGTGTCAGTATATACTGGATTGGTCAATTTACGTCACTTAAATGGGATGTATATGGCTTATTGCCGACGTTAGAGGTAATTAACTCTTACTTAATACAATCTCACTTCAGATAAATCTACGAATACTTTGCTCTCCCCAACCAAGTTGGATGTATGTGAGAATACAGACATCACTCTCAATTGCACTGCGGATGCATATCCATCAGTCGAGAACTACTCGCTGTACAATGGAAATACTTACATTGGATCAAACAGTAATGGACAGTTTACTACAACAGCAAGATCATTGGAATTGAATAAGTTTTGTTGTGTCGCTTCGAATGAAATTGGAAGTGGTCAATGTGCCTTTTCTGATGTATACGTACTAGGTAAGTGAAAAGATACGGGTGGGTATCCATACTTTTATCTATACTGTAACGATATTTAGCGAATGTCTCTCTGAATGCAATCTTTAATGTATTTTTTCTTCTCAAACGATTTCATGTATTGTAGATTTGAATTTTATTCTACCGTTTGTCACAGCAGACATGCCAAACCTGACACTTTTTTGTGTGCCTCTATTGTTGTCATTATCGTGCGTAACTCTCGTCATGGGCTGTTCTTATATGAGATATGTGATCTTATCTGTGTTTCTCTTTCATAGCCACTTTCATTTCCTTTAGTCAAAACGATGAACTTACTTTTTTCGTCCGCAAATATCAATTGAGTTAAACAAAATGATGACAATGGTGATGACGATGCTGCTTAACAAAATGACCAATTACTTGCTTACTTGTAGGAGACATAACCACAATGTGTAAAATCAATAACGAGAATACATCAGTAGCAGCAGTAGCAGCAGTAGCAGCAGTAAAGGAAGGAGATAAAGTAGTTCTGCAGTGTGACGTATCTGGGAAGGAATCATACTACATCTACCAGTGGATCAAAGTAAAGGACAGTCTGTCTGTCAGGAATGATACACGACAATTATCATTTGGTTCAATAAACCGCATGGATGAAGGTTATTACCAGGTGACCTTGCGAGATAAACTAAACTGCTCATCACAAACAACGTCTTTTAACATCACTGTCAACTGTAAGTAGGATTTTATTGGCATTAATATCATTAGTTAGAAAATACCAGCGTCATGATTTCTCCACAAAACAGAAAAAAAAAAGAGGTATATTTCTCATCCAAAAAATATTTATTTTCTCAGATAAACCTGAGAATACAGTTATGAAGATTACACCTGACAAAAAGGACTTCTGTAAAGGAGAGTCGATAAACATCAACTGTACGTCAGACGCTAAACCCGCCCCAGTCTACTCCTTGTATCGTAATAACGTGTTTAACGGTAGTAATGGAAACGGATTGTTTTTTGTTAACCTTGCTGAGAATGGAAACTACACTTTCACTTGTGTATCGAACAATACAGTTGGTGTTGGACCAAATAAGAGCAAAAATGTTACAGTAAGAGGTAAGTAACTGTTCTTGCCTTTCGTTACATAACGCCACCTGTTTCCTTATTGTCGGTGTGTGCGCGTTTTTTGTTTGTTACTTAATAGTTAATAGCTATTAACTATGGTTAGTTGGTTTTTCATTTTCATGTTGGTGATTCATTTTTTGAACACATCTGGGTTCGCGTTGAATAATGTTATGGCCAACAAATAACCAAAAAAAAAAAAAACAATTAAAGCCGAACTTCAAGAGGCCTGCAGCGCCCTAATATAGGTTTTTCTTTTAGAAGTTTGATTTAAGGCTCTCAAGCGTGGTTGAYAATATTAATTGAATTGCTCATTATATATTCACGGCTCTCGGGATGTATGTAGCGGCTTAATTCCACTGTTCAAGAACGAGCGATTTAATTTGACTTTTGCTTCATGTGTAAACCCCTGGTTGACATATTACAGCTATTTGCAGTGTGGTCGAGGATCGGTCAATAGTTTAGGGCATAATTTGAGTTGAAATATAACGCATATATCTTATAAAAGTGCTTGTAAATTCCCTCTATTCTTGAAAGAACATACTGTTTAATTTCCCCCTCATTTTTAATACACGTATTGTCACTTTTCCAAAGGTCCTTTGATCAAAACGTGCAAGATTGGCAACGAGATTATTACACATAAAACAGTCGTTGAGGGATCTGAAATAGTTCTGCGTATGATAAGTTCCGAAATGGAGCGCTTGGGTTTTACTTGGAAGAACAACACAGTCAACATGTTAGGAGAAGAGGGGCACAGTTTATCAATCAAACCGATTACGCGTTACCAAGGAGGACAGTACCAAGTGGTTGCACGTGATAGATTCAACTGCTCTGCTGATATGGAGTGCAATTTTACCTTAAATGTGCAGTGTGAGTATAAGTTGATTTTCTCTTTTATCAATATAAGTGAGTTTTCATATATTCTGTTAATATTTTTTTAAGTCAGTTATACACACACTTTTGTTTCATTTTGTTGCGCGTTTGAACATTGTAAAGTAAAAGTTTAGGTTGCAACTATGAAACCTGTTTGCGATGTCGTGCGCACTCGTTGCTACGTCAAATTAGGTGTTTCGATTTTCAGCATAAACATATGTATATGCAGCCTGTGACTCTATGCATTACCTTAAATATGCAATGTGAGTAGAAGTTGGTTATATTAAGATATTTTGTTAGTGGTGTTTATATATTCTGCATTTTACGTTGCAAACACGCTTTTTGTTCATTCTGTGGCTCGTTTGTAAAGTTAAAATTTAGGTTTCAACTTTGTTAAATGTTTGTAATGAGGTGCGCACTCGTTGTTATCAAGTAAATACAGAAGGATCGTGATAACTCGATCCTTCAAAGGAAATACAAAAAAAGTTCGAGTTAACTGGAGATGAATCTGTCAACTCCAATGATGATGCACGAAACATTGRTGTCGTATTTGACACAACATACAATGAACCTTGAGAAACATATCAGTAGAGCATCGTATCAAATTTAAGATTTTACTATATACTTATAAAATAATCAAGGGTGCTGCACCTGAATACCTAAATGTCCTTTTAAAACCTTTATGTACCTAAACGTAGTTTAAGATCACAGCACAAACTTCTCTTAGAGCACCCTAGCTATAAACTGAAGTGTTATGGGCAAATCAATTTTGGCTGGAGTTAGCACAAACTTCACAACCATTACTGCCTAGGACTCTTTTGAGTTTCAGCACAAATTCATAAGCCCCCCTCTCTATTAAGCGCCTCGTTCCCTGTCTGACGAGCCTTCCTTAATTGACGTGCATGAGGTGAGGATTAAGGAGATTAATCTATTAACTTTGTTTTAGTTTTTTTTAAGTACTTTTTAATAAATATTGAGGCTGAGCCTAAAGAAATAAGTATGTAATCGAGCAACACAGGGTTAATTTGTAATTCATCCCGTTCTTGTAAAAAGCCTCTATTTTTTATTATATTTACTCGTCGGTTTAAAATACTAAAACAATTATTCGCCTCAGTCTCGTGAAAATYTGGGAATATTCATCGTGYGAAATTCATCTTSATACCACAACAGTTAACGAAACAGACAAGAGCCGGGGAGGTATAACTCATCAAAACCTGTTTTTCCTCAGATAAACCTGAGAACACAGTTATCAAGATTACACCTGACAAGAAGAACTTCTGTAAAGGAGAGTCGGTAAACATCAGCTGCACATCAGACGCTAAACCCGCCCCAGTCTACTCCTTGTATCGTAATAACGTGTTTAACGGTAGGAATGGAAACGGTGCGTTTGTTCTTAACCTTGATGAGAATGGAAACTACACTTTCACTTGTGTATCAAACAATACAGTTGGTGTTGGACCAAATAAGAGCAAAAATGTTACAGTAAGAGGTAAATAACTGTCCTTGCATTACATTATATGACATTGCATGTTTGTTGTTGCTGCTGTTGATGTTGCTGCTGCTGTTGTTGTTGGTGTTGGTGTTCTTGTGAAAATCTAACATTTGAAACTTACAGTCGCTAGCTCGGTTTTCAGCTCTGTCAGCCAAGCTAGAAGCACATTGAAAGCTATCTTGGGTTCTTCCTAACTGCTTAATGCCTCCGTTTAAGAACGAGCAATTTTATTTGACTTGTCCTTCATGTAGGTTATATTGTCTTGTGTTAGGGGAATTCTTTTCAAATTCAAATTTCGATATGGAAATTCATTCGACTAGGAGTCATACCTTACGATAGCGTATAGTATGCTACAATGTCTGTGCATACACTAATGAACTGTWTCGTTTTGAATATAAAAAAGGGAACAACCAAGCACTTCACTTCGTGGCTCAATGGTTGGGGTTGGGTTAAGGTTGAGATAGTTATTATACAATAAACCCATCATTTGCCCATTACAGTTATTTGCAGTTTAGTCGTGGATCGGCCAATAATTTACAAATCTAGTTGTAGTCTATTCTAGTCTTTCTTAGATAAACACTACCTCTGTTTCCGCATTTTTTTAATAACCATATTGTCACTTTTTTAAGGTCCTTTGATCGGCGTAACGTGCAAGATTGGCAATGAGACCATTACACATAAAACACTCGTTGAGGGGTCTGAAATAGTTCTAAGCCTCATGAGTTCTGACGTGGAGCGCTTGGGTTTTACTTGGAAGAAAAATACAGTCGATGTTGTAGGAGAAGTAGGGCACAGTTTGACGATTCAACCGATTACGCGTTACCAAGGAGGAATGTACCAAGTAGTTGCACGTGATAGGTTCAACTGCTCTGCTGATATGGGGTGTAATTTTACCTTGAATGTGCAGTGTGAGTAGAAATATATTTGTTTTCCTCTTTTTACCAGTCTTGAAAATTAAGTGCTGATACATTGGTTTAAATAAGATTTTTCATTGTGTGGCGCCTTCAACTATTACAAGGTTAGTTTAGAGGATACAGCTATGTTGAAAGCCCGCAATATCTTTTCTAAATATTATATCAACAAATTCGTGCAGCTTTCCATAAATATAAATGAGGCACATCCACAATAACCATCAGGTTACTCTCCTTTACAGAAATATTTCAGAAA